GCAATTTATTAACAAATAAATTTGAAATATATATAATACACATACATGTATATAACTACATTTTGTCTGTGACTAATGTCACGTCTTGTCACCTCAAACTCTTAATATAATAAATGACTTCATGCACTTCAGATGTTATTTTTCTCTAAAAATTATACCACAGTTACAATAGTACTGAGTAAGAAGTTTCTCCTAATCCCCTTTTGTTTTCAGCTTCTCTCTAGCTGTGAAAAGAGATTCAGCTTCTCTTCATAGAATTGTCTTTATTGGATTTTCTTATAAAATACGAAGACAGTTTTCACAAGGGAGTGCATCCTCACTTTTCGTTCTGTCTTCCCCATAAGACTCTTCACAGGTCCTTTTGTATCATAGATAAATTTTTCTCCCCAGATTTTTTCATAGCTCCTCAAGAATAAAAGATAAAACAGATCCTCTTTTGAACTCCACAGGGAGAAACTGGCCAAACCATTTTTTAAACTGACTTTTTAAACTAAGTTTCTCAACATTCCATTCAAGCTCTCTCTGGCTCTTCAAGCTCCAGTCAGTATTAAGATTGTGAGAAGACAGAGCTTGCTCCCTCTCATTAGAAGCAGGTTCCCCTAGGACTGAACCATATTCAAATTGCATGCCGCGGTTTATAGAACAGGGAGTGAGTGGGTGCAGTACTCCGGGCCACTGAATGGATCCTAAAGGTTAGGGAGATTATAATAGAATCATAGAACCTCAAAGCTGGAAAGGCTGTTAAGGTATTTTGTAGTTCAATTTACTGATTTGATTGATGCAATCTTCTTCTAGCCTTCCCCAACTCCTCAATTCCAGTGCCTTCCCTCCTTTTATTTCCTATTTATCCCATGTGTGGCTTGCTTTGTATATATTTGTTTGCATGTTGTCTTTTCTATTAGAATGTAAACCCATCGAGGGCACAGACTGTCTTTTGCTTCTTTTTATATCCCCAACAATTTGCACAGTGCCTGGCAAATAGTAGGCATTTAAATGCATGTTGATTGGGAATCTGAAGACCTGAATGGTTAAGTGATTTAAAATCACACAACTAGTTAGTAGCAGAAGCAAAATGAGACCTCACTTGCTTCATATTGTTAGGATACAATGAGAGAATTTATGTGAAAGAATATGGAAAAAGTAAAAATTGCTACACAAATGTAAAAGCAGTTTTATTATGTCTCTTAGGGAGTTAGTTCGGTATTTCTAAAACATCTCTTAAATACAGCAATACTGTTCTCTGTTCTTTAAAAGGTTTTGTCCCCCCCCCAAAAAAAAAAGGTTTTGTGTCTTTAATTTATTCTAGTGACTATTATGGTGCTACAAAATATGAATAACCATTATATATTAACAAAATGATTATTCTCTTTCTGAAAAGACCCAAAATCTAATCAGCTTTACCTGTTCTAAGTGGACCTTATGATATGGGCAACTGAAGTTTTTTTCTCTGAATGGCCCAGTGACCTCTTAGCTGTTAAATTGGATGTCCTTTTCTCATCCCTTGTCCTCCTTAGCTACTTGGCAACTTTTGACATAATCAACTTCTCCTTCCTCCCAAGTAGTCCTGAATCTCTTTTGTAGGATTATCATCTATGCTACTTCATTTTGGTGATTTTTTTGGCTTAGTTGTTTCAGTCATGTCCAACTCTTCATGACCCCATTTGGGGTTTTCTTGGCAATTAGGGTTGGTTTGCCATTTCCTTTTCCAGTTCATTTTACAGATGAGGAAACTGAGGCAAACAGGGCCCAGGGCCATATAGCTAGCAAATGTCTGAGGCCAGATTTGATGAGTACTCCTGATGCCAGGCCCAGCACTCTATCCACTGAGCCAGCTTGATGCTCAAAATCTTAGTAATACTTTAAGCTTTAAGTTCAGAATTAAAATATTATCAATGTAAAAATTTTTGAAAGGTTTTAAACATTTAAAAATGTTTCTCATTAAAATTCAACCTTTTTGTGCTATATATACACATTAGTCAATTTCCAAACTGCAAAAGTTTGCCATCAGTTGCTGATCAGTGACCGAAAAGATTGCATTTATACTCCTGAGGTTTTGATGCATACTCCAATTTTGCCAAGACCTCACAAGAGTCTAATGGCGATAGCTGAAGTGACCAGGGTAGCCAACTGGAAGAGGACCTCCTTTATTGATCCAGAGGTCTTAGAACTATCAAATACACAATGCATAATGACAAGGGACCCCCCCCCGTCTTGTTAAAATTTAAATTAAAACATTATTTAAAATTCAAAAAAGTGTAAATTTAAATAAACTGATTTTTTGAATAAATTTGTATCATTTTTAAACTTCCAAAGTTATTAAAGCTTAAAACTGTATTAAGGCTTTTGGGATACCCTGTATATCTATCCGTATCTGGCTTAGTTGTTGAGTTTCCTGGATTACTTTTTTACCTCCCCCAGCAGCTTTCTTGTCTGTTTTTGCTATGTATTGGTATCTCCATGGCCAAGCACTTAAATAAGTAATAAGTGCTTTATTTAATCTAATCTGCAGCCCCGCCCTATCCTTCCACCAGGAACTGGTTTTTTAGCTTTGTATTCTCAGCACAGCCTTTCACCTACTGGTAGATGCTTAATGAGTTCAATAATTTCAGAACTCCCTAAGCATTTTGCCAACAGGTAAAATCTAATTTTTGGTTACGTACAAGTATCAGAGAAATTGATGGCAACTATGTCTCTCTAAAAATATCTGACTAGCTACTCACACTATGCTTACTAGTGTGTGACAAGGTTTTAAGGTGCTGTCTTGATCACAAATTAACATTTCTAGCTTTCCAACATGCTTTTGAATGGCAAATGAGACATTCAAATTTCCAGACACAAATTTCCATTTGTGTCTGTTAATTTAGTACCAGTTCACTTCAACAATCATTTAAGCACCTAGTAGGTGCTACTACTGTGCTAGGGGATTAAAATCAGAAGCAAAACAAAGCAAGCAACTTTATTAGCTCAGAGATTTGCTGAACTAAATTGACTGAAGGGAAAGGCAACAAGCAGAACTTTTAAAAAACTAAAATAAGCCAAAATAGCTGGTTTCTATGTTGCACTTGCCAGTTACCCACAGGGATAAACTAGGCAAATTCATTTTAAGTCAACTCAATTTATCTGTAAAGTGGGGTCATTTAAAACTAAACTTCACTTTTGTTAGGTTTAACCTTTTTTTTCCCCATCAAACTTTTGACTAAGCTATTAACGTTTAAAAAAAAAAGTTAGAGGGTTTTGCCAGACTCTCAGCATCCTGATAAAAGCATAAATGAAGTTAACAGAACAAAGATGGGGAGTATAAGCACCGTGCGGCCCCCCAAATTAGCTCCCGAAAATTCTTAAATGGATGCTTTGATGTTTTCAAAACATTGCCACATCAGCCCTCGCTTTCAAAGGAAAATGCTTATTTTACAGACTGAAAGCCATAATTAGAAATGGCTTATCTTTATTATACTTACAGGATACAAATAGTTATTTTTTTGGTGGGTAGGGAGAAGAGGGTAGATTCAATGGTTCTCGCCATGACTTTCCTTTTTGAACGCAGGAAATAACAGACAAAACAAGCAGATTTGGGGAAACAGAAATCCTGCAGATGCTTTTAGAAAAGTAATTAGAAGGTAAAATAAAATTAGGTGTGCTGTTAACATGCGTGGGAAAGTAGGTACACTAACAAACTGTTGGTGCAGTTGTCAACTGGTCCAATCATTCTGGAGAACAATTTGGAACTCTGGCTATAAAACTGTGCATACCCCATGACCAAGCAATACCAATACTAGGTCTGTACCCCAAAGAGATCAAAGAAAAAGGACCTGTACGTACAAAAATATTTATAGCAGCTCTTTTTGCAGTGGCAAAGAATTGGAAATTGAGGGGATGTCCATTAATATGGCAACGGCTAAGCAAGCTGTGGTATATGATTTTGATGGAATTGTGTTGAGGGGGAAGGTTTCAGAAAAAACATGGGAAGACCTATGTGAACTGGTTCAAAGTGAAGTGCACAGAACCAGATCACTGTACATAGTAACATCCAATATTATAATGATGGTTTACTGTGAAAGACCTAGCTACTCTGATCAATACTGATCCAAGACAATTCTGAAGAATTCATGATGAAAAATGTTATTGGCCTCCAGAGAGAAAACTGATGAACTGGTGCAAATTAAAGTATAACTTTCCTTTTTAAAAAAATATTATTTTATTGTCCCCTAGTTACATATAAAGACATTTTTTAACATTCATTTTAAACAAATTGAGTTCCAAATTTTCTTTCTCCCTCACCTCCCCCTTCCCTGAGACAGTAAGCAATTTGATATAGATTATACATGTTCAATCACTGAAGCATAATTTTCTCTTTTTTCTTGCTTTTCTTTGGTAACATGGCCAATATGAAAATGTTTTGCATGATTTATGTATAACTGATATGTGAAACTGATATCATATTGCTTGCCCTTTCACAGGTTAGGGGAGGACTGGAGGGTGGGAGAGAATTTGAACTCAAAATTTTAAAAGTAGTTAAAAATAAACACTTTTTAAAAAAAACTGTAAAAGAAAAATGTTCCCATCTAATGAACTAGCATGAGATTACTTGGTTCCAAAATAATGATTTTTTTTCACTTTCTTGGTCCATTCTTCTTTTAACAGATTTGAGATCTCTATGGCCAATTCTCTTGAAACCATGTGGTTGTAATCAGACCTTGGTTCAAGCCCTAGCTCTGTTACCAGTGACCTTGGGCAAATCACTTCAGCAGTCTAATGTATAAATTTCCACAGTAAAATGGGGATGGTGACAATACTGGTACCGTCTCCCTTCCAGGAATGTTGTAAGGACCACAAACAAATGTTTGGTAATTTGTAGACCATAGTTATACAAATAAAAGGTACTACCATCATTATAATTTCTCACATCATTTGTTACTTTGGGAGATTTTGTTGCCACTTGAGACTGAACGTACCAGACTCTACCCAGACAACCCTCCCACCCAATGAAGTGATGACGTACACAAACAGGCATCAATATTTATTAACACAAGACAAAGGAAACACATTCAATGAATTAATAGAACACTGTCCAGCCAGATGTTAAATTTAAAAAAATGTATATCTAGTCTAATTTCAAATAAATAAAAAAAACTTTATACATAATTACATAGTATTATAGTTTGAATTTGACACTGGTAAATATTTGACAGAAAGTAAACAAAAACTGCATTTAGGACTAAAAAAATTATTCTCATATCTTTACAATCTCATCCTCTGGACAAATAACATGGCCCATCTACATTAGACTAAATCAGGAAGGTCACAAAAAGGATAAAGGAAAAGACTCATGTTTTAAGAGTATTGTAGCTTCACGCTCCAATTTCTCTTGCCACCAGTACATTACAGCAGACAACAAAAACAATGCTAAGGCATAGATCATTCTGGAGCTTGAGAGCAAGAAGGTGAGGTTAGCATGACTCCTCCTTGGTTTAGTATGAAAGATTCCTGGATTCCTAGGGAAATGGTTTATTTGGCCAAGAGATCCAGCACCATGCCTAGGGCAAACACCATAACACAAATGCTAAGGTCTTAGGTTTCTTTGTTTGAGCCAAGCACTGTGCCAAATTTTCCCAAGGGCTATCCTAAAGTGGTAACTAGTAGGAAGGCTACTGGTCCCTGATAACCAGAAGCAAAGCAATTTTCTAAGGATCTGAGGGAAGGAAGGACTTGTACTAGGGAGAAAATAGCCCACTGTGTGGCAAGAAGCATTATTAAATAATGCCAATCATGCCATGCTAGTCACTAACTCCAGAGTTTTAATGTTCATAAGGATATAAACACTAAACTTATATAGCTCCCTGTAAGTATTCTTCATCTCCAGGCACTCTTCCAAAGAAGCTGCCTTTATTGCCTTATTTTGCAGTTTTAACAATAAGGGTCTCAATTTGATGAATGGATCTCTTTGGACTGAGATGAAAACTCATTCATTTAGTGGATGAAAATACACATTTTCTTCTCCATTCCCACATACAACTTTTGCATAGGAACACAGGTAGTGTGTCCTAGAGACCTGCTAAGGCTATGTGCAGTAGATGACTTCAAAAAGGTAAATATATATATATATGTGCATGTATTTTTGCATCCATTGTATGCACACATACATGTATGTATGCATACACACAAATACCACTGGAGGAAAATAAATTGCCATAATAGCTTTAAGAGCAGGAGTTTTTAACCTGAGGTCCAGGAACTTGAAAAATGTATTTTGATAACTGTATTTCAATATAATTAGTTTCCTTTGTAGCCCTATGTATTTTTATTTTACATATTTAAAAATATGATTCTGAGAAACGGTTCGTGGACTTCATCAGACTTCCAAGGAGGTCCGTACATAAAAAAGCTTATAAGCAAGTCCCATCACAAAGTCAAGTGACACCATGGGATATTTTCCTTACTGCAAGAGTAGGAGTACGTCTTGCTGTTGAAAACTTTCAGTTACACCAACTTTTAGTAGGGATCCAAAGGAAGGTAACTTGAATGGTAAGACTCTAGATCCAATCATCTAAGAAATGGCTGAAAGAACTAGGGGCACAGCCTGAAAAAGAGAAGATTTAGAGAGACATAAAGTGGTCGGTACATAGTAGGTGCTTAATTAACATAAACATGAGTTGAACTGAATCTAACGACAGCTGTCTTCAAGTATCTGAAGGGATATGTAAGAGATCTGACTTATTCTGCTTGGCTCCAGAAGAACCCTCTTTTAACAAAGGCTTATGATTCCTATGCCCTAAGGGTATAGCTACCCTAAGGGAAGGAAGCCCCAGGAAGCTACAGGGAGGCAGATCAATCTATGGAAGACTCGTTTAAAAATCAGAGCTGTACAAAAATGGAACAGGCTGCCTCATGAGGTAGTAAGTTCCTCATCGCTGGAGGTTTCAGGCAGAGGATGGATAAGCCCTCTATGCAGATGTTGTATAGAGGGTTTATCTAATGGGCATGAGGTTGGAGCAGATGATCTCCCAGGTCCCTTCCAGCTATGTGATTTCCTAATTCTATGACCAGAAGGGATAGTCACAGAATAATGCAGACATTGATCAAAAGCAGTGAAATGGCCACAAAAGCAGGAGCAGGATTGTTAGAGAGAGGCTACAGACCTGAAGAAATACAAAATCTATTCAACTCACAACCTGAATAATCAGCCCTCAAAGTTGCCTGTACTCTTCTGCTCATAAATGGAATGTCTTTTGCGAAAGGGTGAGTCTACATGTCTCCTTTCTAACTTTGCAGGTATGATTTATACTATTTTATGTATATATTTTTTTCTTTAGAATTGGGAAGACTACAGAGAAAGGCAGTTCTTCTAAAATAGTTGCCATGGCCCTCTGCTTTGTCCAGAATGAATCACTGATATATACATACATACATATATATGTATGTACATATGTGTGTGTGTATACACATATATCTCTCTTTTAAACCACACCAAACATTAGCAAGCCATTGTACCCGAAAACTAAACCATTTACCTGTATGCAGAGAGGTTTTGTGTTTGCCTTGATGGGTATGCTTTTCCTACACATGCCAGAGCCTCTCACACCACAAATTTAATTTACTCAAAATATTAAAAAACATATCTGCAACTGGAAAATGTTTTTGGGCCTGCCCTTGTTGGAGAATGAGAAGAAAAGAAATGAGGACAATGAAAAGGGTGGTAATAAAGTGGCTTCAAGTCATAGGACTATGTTTACGCAGCGATTCACAGCACTGCTATAGGGAAGGGTCTGTCTCTGCATTATAAACCTTATTTTCAGGGTAAATACAAGTCTTAAAAATTGTTTAAAAACATACTTAGTTTACATGATGTTACACTGGGGTAAATAATATGCATTATTAAAATAGAGTAAGTAAGTATTTACACAATAGACTAGATGGATCCAAGAGAACCATTCTAAAGTCTTATTCACTTTGAGGGTTTGGTGGTTCTTTTTTTAATTTTAAAAAATATTTCTGTAAGAAAAAAATAATAGAATCCAACTATGTTCGAATACATGAAGGATCAGACCAAAAATGGAAACTGAGCCACAGGCAAATTTGGCTCTGTCTTTTAGTCTGCTAGGCCTGGGTACCACAGTTATTCCAAAACAGTGTGTTTTGCATAAAACAGGGTTCCCTTATGAGTATTTTTCTAAGGCTGGCTATGATAGCATTCAAAGGAGTTGGCCAACATTGAACTTTTTATTTCTGTTGCAATGCATTGGCTACTTATCTCACTCCCTTCTCAACTTTCTCCCCCCCAACCATGTGTGCACAGTTTCCACCTGATAAAAGGTCGTTCCCTGCTCCCCCAATGGCTCCCATGGAGTGGAAAATCAGAAGGAACTTTCCAGTTTTAAAAGAGAAACTGCATGGAGAAATTGTAAATAGAAGTTTCACTACAAAGGAGAAATAGGGCTGGGGAAGAAGAAATTCACTGATTAGGAAGTCTTGACATCCAATTAATCAAATTCAAAAGCACAATTCAAAACTGGGGGTAGCAGGGAGTGGTATCTCCCTAGGAGAAGATAATCTTAATTTTTTTCTTGGTGCTTTGAGTAGTTTGTTTTGTAAAGTGAGACTTTCAATTGGTCAACTTGCAGAAGAAACAGGATTAATGTTTAAAAATTAAGTTCACTCTAAAGGGAAATGGGCTTTACAGACAAACACAGGCAGCTTGATCTTATAAAACATGCCAGCCAGCAAAGTCACAGTACAGTGCGCAATGGAAACCTGTATACAACTTAACATTTCTTAGTTATCTAACCAATTAAATGTTAAGACTCTTAAAATTACAATCCTAAATGTTTCTATTTTGGTGGCTGTAGTTATACAAGCCATTTTTGTTTTGCGCTGAATTATGCATACTACTATATACAGTTTAAAAATATAGGCAAAACCCTTTAAATTTTAGGCATGTGCATGTGTGTGTATGTATGATGACATGATTCTCAGATTTAACGAGTCATCCACTTTGCTTATGGCATGACTATAAGTATTCTGTATAACCCCATGTTAACAAAGCCCCAAAGCACTAGCTACAGTATAATTGCAAAATACAGTATATGATGGAGACCTGTGGAACTCGGACTATTTCCTTTATGTTAATAAATCCCTTCGCAAAATTCTAAAACAGCATTAGATAAAAATACAAGTATGTACAACAGATGAAAAAAGGTAACACCCATTTAGCAAAGGCTTTAGTAACGTGCTGCCTACATTGTCAATGTTAAAGGTCACCCCAAGTAAACTATAAACTTTTCTTTTTTTCATTTGCTACCAAATGAAATTCCCTTTCCTGTTTGTCACATGATTGAAGAATCCCATAGGATGAGATGAAGGAAATAACGTATCCACCTCAAATCATTTTACAGCAAGTATTAGTACTTGTTTTTAGCTTTTTTTTTTTTAAAGATGACAATAGTGGCCCAGCCTCAGGCCTTTGTTTTTCATGGTTCTGAGGAATTGGCCACATGCCCATAATGCACAATTACATGTTATAAGCCACATAGATAGGATCTAACTGATCTGCCAGAAAGCTGTCCCGGAGGTGCATCCGCTGCTTCTCTCCTCTGGAATTGATTGGGATGACACCCGGGTCCACGACAACCACAACTCCAACAATGAGGTAATGTTCTTCCAAGACCACGTTAGTCACCAACGGGACCAGATCCAGGGCTTCTTGCTCACAGCCACACAGTTCCACAACCACCACGAGCAAGTTGGTCCATGTGAACACAGCACTGAAATTTCAATGATATTGAATTAACATAGGCATTGATAACATGTTAATAAATTTAGGATCTAAAGGAAGCGGAGGCAGGGATAATTTCTAGGATGCATGCTTATACTTATATTTTTGAGTATGAACCTGTGATATTTTAGTAGTCAAAATATTTCCTAACAAAGAACAAAGCTCTCTATATAAAGAGTTAATTCTAGGAGAGCCTGAAAGTAGTTCAATACATCCACTCAGCTCAAGCAACAAGCATATATTAAGCATCTGCTATGTGCTGGGCAACGTGCTAGGTGCTGGGAATACAAAGACAAAAATGAAACTGTTCTTGCTTTCAAGGAATTTAAATCTAGCTAGGAGAGAAAACCTGTACATATACAGGTATATACAATACACAGGCAAAATAGATACAAAATAACTTTGAGGGAAAGACACTAGCATTGAGTGGGGTCAGGAGAGAATTTATGTGGAAGGTGGTGCTTTGGCTGAGACATGAAGGAAATTACGGACTCCAAGTGGTGGAAGGAAGGAAAGAGTGCGTTCTAGGCATGGGGGACACCAATTCTAGAGCGCTGAGATGAAGTGCTATGATTAAGGTGAGGTAAGAAGGCCAGTCTTTTTGGACTGTGGTGCAGAAGAAAAAGACTGAAAAGGGAAAAAAAACTAGAAAGGTAGGCCACTGCTAACATGTGAGACCAAAGAATGGTGTATATTTGATCTATAAAGTAAGAGTGCGCCCCCGGAGTTTACTGAGTAGAAGAGAAACATGGTTAGAATTATGCATGTAGAAAATTACTCAGCAGTTCTTTGGAAGACAGCAGAAGACCACTAGAAGGTTATTACAAGTCAAATTAAGAGGTAATGAAACCTTGAACTAGGTTAGGGGTCATGAGTGGAGTTCTAGTATAAGTAGAAGATTACGGTTGTGAACATGGGTGACTGGAAGGATAGTGGTATCCGAGAGAAATAGGGAGATTGAGAAGAGGTTTCTGTTTTGACATATAAAATACAAGATACCTGTGGAACATTTAGTTTGAAATGTCCAACAGAGGGTTGATGATACGGAAACGGGAATTCAGAAATGAGACTATGGGTAGATATGTAGATCTGGGACTATCAACACAGTGATAATTTAAATCCATGGGAGCTGATGAGTTCACCAAGAGACACTATATACATACATACATATAGACAAATATACGTATATAAAAGAATAAGAGAGATCAATGTCACAAAACCCCCTTCCCTGGGTAACTAACAGTGTCAAATGCAATAGAGAAGTCAAGAAAGTCAAGGTCTCAGAAATGACCCTCAGATATAGCAATTAAGAAACCATTGGTAACTTTGGAGAGAACATTTTCAGTTGAGTGATGAAGTTGAAATCCAGGCTGCAAAAGAGTTGAGAAGAGAAGATGAAGTGGAGGCAATGAGTGCAGATAGCTTCTAGGAATTTGGCTGAGAAAAAAAGGATGATAGCTTGAGAGCGTAGTTATAGTAAAAGTTGGTTTTTGTTTTTTAAAGGATGGGAAAGAAGTATATGTTTGAAGGCAAAGGAAAGGAGTTACTAGATCAGTGGGTATCGAAGATTAAAAAAAGGGGATACTTTGGAGGGCAGGGATGGGGATCAAGAGAACACACAGTGACTTTGGTGAGTAAAGCCACTACCTCTTTATCAGAGTTCCCTAATCCATCTTATCTCCCACAATATTATAGCTTAGAGTTTGGAACTTTAGCCCGCAAAACACTAAACTGTGTACATACCCTGACCAAGTGACAGTACTAGTAGGTCTATATTACAAAGAAGTCAAAGAAAGTGGGAAAGAACCCATAAGCACATCAATATTCACAGCACCATTTTTTGTTGTATCAAAGAACTATAAAAACAACAAAGAGGGGGTGACCATCAACTGGGGATTAGCTGAACGTATAATAGAACAGAGGTTGGCAAACTATGGTCCATGGGTCAAATTTGGCCTGCTGCCTATTTTTTTGTATAGTTCATAAGCCAAGAATGGGTTTTTACATTTTTAATGGTTGAAAAAAAATCAAAAGAAGAATACTTGGTGATATGAAAATTATATAAAATTCAAATATTAGTGTCCATAAATAAAATTTTATTGGAACACAGCCACACTCATTTGTTTGTACATTGTGAATGGCAGCGTTCCTGCTACAATGGCTTGCGTTGAGTGCTTGCAAAAAAAGACTAAAAGAGCTCTCATAGCTCCATGTTGCTTCTTGGTGCACTACAAATCATAGTGATGCAGTCATAATTTGCTGTTTCATACTGTACTGTGCTGATATTTTATTTTGTTTTTATTACCAGTGCATACCCATCATGTCAAAATAAGAAGAGGGAAAAATGTTTATGATTTTTTGAATTCAGTCCTGAGATGGACTTTTTTTTTGAAAGAAAAAAAATCCTCAATCACTACCACTGAATGGCTTTCAGACTTGTTAATGTTTCTTAATGAATTTAACCTAAAATTACAAGGCAAAAGAGTACTTATACGCAAAACTTTATTTCAGCGGTCAACTAACATTTCTTGAAAGGGCAGCTAGGTGGCGCAGTGTATAGAGAACCAGGCTTGGAGTTGGGAAGACTCATCTTCCTCAGGTCAAAAGCAGCCTCAGATATTTATTACCTGTGTGACTCTGGGCAAGTCACTTAACCCTGTTTGCTTCAGTTTCCTCATCTGTAAAATGTATTGATGAAGGAAATGGCAAACCATTCCAGTATCTTTGCCAAGAAAACCCCAAATGGGTCATGAAGAGTCAGAATATCAAGGGAACTAATGAAAAGAAATGCAGGGGAAGGTGGCCTAGCAATTGCAGATCTTAAATTGTATTATAAAGCAGCAATCATCAAAACTGCTTGGTACTGGCTAAGAAATAGAGTGGTAGATCAGTGGAATAGGTTAAATATGCAAGACACAGTAGTCAATGACTATAGTAATCTATTATTTGATAAACCCAAAGACCCCAGCTTCTGGGATAAGAACCCACTCTTTGAAAAAAACTGCTGGGAAAACTGGAAAAGAGTATGGCAGAAACTAGGCATAGACCCAATCTCACACCATATACCAAAATAAAGTCAAAATGGGTTCATGACTTAGATAGAAAGGCTGATACCATAAGTAAACTGGGAGAACAAGGAATAGTTTACCTATCAGATCTATGGAGAACAGAAGAATTCATGACAAAACAGGAGATAGAGAACATTATGAAAAGCAAAATGGATAATTCTGATTACATTAAATTGAAAAGTTTTTGTACAAACAAAGCCAATGCAACTCAGATTAGAAGGAAGGCAGAAAATTGGGAAATTTTACAACCAGTCTCTTTGATAAGGGCCTCATTTCTAAAATACATAGAGAATTAAGACAAATTTATAAGAATACAATCCATTTACCAGTTGATAAATGGCCAAAGGATATGAACAGACAGTTCTCAGATGAAGAAATTAAAAATGCTCTAAATCACTATTAATTAGAGAAATGCAAATCAAAACAACTCTGAGGTACCACAGATTGGCCAACATGATAAAACAGGAAAATGATAAATGTTGGAGAAGATGTGGGAAAATTGGAACACTAATGTATTGTTGCTGGAGTTGTGAAATGATCCAATCATTTTGGAGAACAATTTGGAACTATGCCCAAAGGGCTATAAAAATGTGCATACCCTTTGATCCAGCAATAGCACTTCTAAGGCTATATGCCAAAGATCATAAAAATGGGAAAAGGACCCACATGTACAAAAATATTCATAACAGCTCTTTTTGTGGTGGCAAAGAATTGGAAATTGAGGAACAGCTGAGCAAGTTGTGGTATATGAATGTAATGGAATACTATTGTGTTACAAGAAATGATGAGCAGGATGACTTCAGAAAAACTTGGAAAGACTTGTATGGTCTGATGCTGAGTGAAGTGAGCAGAACCAAGAGAACGTTGTACACAATAACAGCCACGTTGTGCGATGACTAATATTGATAAACTTAACCCTTCTCAGCAATACAAGACACCTCCAGAGGCGTTGTGATGGAAAATGATATCCACATCCAAAGAAAGAACTATGGAAGTTGAATTGTTATCTTTTTTTTCCTCTTCTGTTGAGTTTTGTTTCCTCTTTCTGATGGTTCCTCCTATGGTCTTAATTTTTACTTACAACACCACTAATGTGAAAATATGTTTCATAGGGAATGTAAATGTATAGCCTATATCAGATCGTCTTGGGGAGGGTGGTGAGGAGGAAGGGGGAGAAAAATTTTAAGCTCAAAAGCATATGGAAATGATTGCTGATAAATCAAAATTAATTAATAAAATAAATTTAAAAATTTTTCTTCTTACAAAGAAAAAGTCAGACACAACTGAAAAATGACTCAACACACTGTTTGAATCATAAATAATGTCAAGCTACTTTATACACTTAATATACTGTCAAAAGCTAAAATACGAAGTGAGATCTATATTCCTGCAAAATTTGCAACAAATAGATTTTGAGAGTTTAAAATTACAGTTCCAGCAGCACTTTTTTGGATCTTGATGCAAATGTAAAATATCTTTCCATATTTCAAAATCCATTTAACTGTGGGAACTTCCATCTAACCTTTAAATGGAATTATCTGCAACATAATGACATGCTAAAAGGCAAAAATATCAAGAGAAGAATCTAGTAGAATTTTATAGATGCCTTCCATATGATGAAAACGCTTAATTAAAATCACATGCTCAAGGACTTTTAGCAGTATTTGGCAGTACCTAGCTGTGTGAAAAGACATTTTCAGAGATGAAATATGTAAAATTTCATTACAGATCAGCATTAACAGTTGGGACATTTGAAATTGACTTTGATGATAAAAAAAGAGTTAACGAAATGTCTAAGAAATCAGGAGTTTTAGAGGACAACATAGGCAAGATAGCTTTGGATTAATGGGCTGTTGAGCATGTATTTTTAGAAAAAAAAAGCTGCAACGAGATCAGCAATTTTATATACAATCCCCTTTTT